GCCCATGGGCAGCGCGCTCGCGTGCGCCGTCGCACTGCTCGCCGCCGTCGGACCTGAGGCGCTGCCAGGACGGGGGCGAGCTGCGGCGCGCGTGCTCGCGTGCCGCCGCTTGGGGCGGCAAGCGGTTCGACCTGGTCCGCTCATTGACGACTAGCAGCGGTAGCTGGACCCGCGCTCGCTCGGCGCTTCCACTCTGTCGAACACGCCGCCGCAGCGCAGGAGAGGGCGCTTTGGGAAGAGGTGGACAAGCGCCCTGGCTTCGAGCACCGTGCAGGAGGAGGCGCGCTGGCCAGCATCAGGCGCACTCTTCGCCGCAAGCGCGAGTAGGAAGACGGCGAAGGAGCTCAGCTCGGCCAAGAACGTTCTCGTCGGCTGCACATGGCCTGTCGCGCGTCGATTCGGGATGGATCGGCAAATCGCGTTGTCGCCCTGGTGCCCGCAGCAATGCGCTGCCTGCGGAGCGGCGCGGCGGCCGGCGCGGCAGCGTCCCCCGACAGCGGCGGGCCGCGCGGAGTGGGAGTCCGACGAGGACGGCGACGAGAGGCGCCCGCCCGACGACATCCACTTCAGGACGATGGTCGACATGGCGAGCCTTGGCTACGCCGAGGGCCCGCGCTGGCCCCGCGCGCTCGCGCCCGCGAACAGACGGGCGATGTCGCCGCCCGCGGAAGAGCGCGCGGCCATGAAGGACCAGGCGGATCTTGTCGGCATGCCCTTGGCGGGCGACCTCTGATGACCCGAGCCTATTCTTTGCGCGAGGTGGCTGGGCAGTCGTGGCCATGGGGCACGACGCTGAGGCCGTCAGCCTTTTTGGGCCTTGCCTTCGCCCTCCCCTCATGAGTCAGGGGCGGCTGAGCTCCGCGCGGCCGTCGAGGCCATTCGGGGTGGCCTGCCCTTCATTAGGCTGTTCACCGACTGCCGGTTGCTCGTGGGCAGCACTGCCGTGGGCAAGGCGCTGGTGGCAGAGGCCGCTCCGGGAGCTCTGGGCCCACCAGTAGGGCGTCATAGAGGACGTTGGCATCGGCAACCTCTCCTTTCACAATGTGAAGGCGAACGCGAGCCTGGCGGCCGCGCAAACGGATCGCGCCACGGCGTGGCAGCGACGTGGCAGCCATCGTGCTGGCGCTCGGGCCAGCGAGGGGGCGCGTCTTCACCCCGCTAATGACGCCCTGCGGGGCCGCAGCAACCGCCAGGACCGCCCCATCAAGATCGTCTTCCGCTGGCTGGGAGTGGCCATGCAGGATGGCGACGCCGAGCCCGCGGCAGCCGGCGGACATGATAGGCCAGGCCTCGACGAGGTCCTCTGCGACTGGCGAGCGTGCGCTCTGCGCTGGGGAAGCCACTGCGGGTTCTCCGAATGCCTTCAACGCACGTGCGGGCGCCGCGGCACCTGGCTGGGCACCGACGACGACGACGCGCTCTGGGCGCGCCTCGAGCGCGCGGGCCGCGGCGAGGCCATCTCGGGCCCGTGCGCCGCTGGTGGCGAGCGGAGCTCGAGCGCAGTTTCACCGGCGGCGGCGCTTCTCATGGCTGGCGCGTCGTTGCTATCCAGCCAGGCGGGCGCTTCGTCCGCCTCCGCTGGCGAAGGCGATGGCGGCGGCCCAGATGCGGCTGGCGGTGCAGGCCCGAGCGGCATCAGCAGCTGCGGCAGCGGGGGTCAGGCTGCAGCCCCTGTCCAGCCGCCGCCGCCGCCTCCGCCAGAGCTGCCCCATGGTGGGGAGTGGGCGCGCGCGAGTCGCGCGAGCTTGGGAGGGCCGGCGTGCATTTGTTCTGCACCATGTGCGGGCACTGGACGAAAAACGTCGGGATGGCGAGGCTCGCCACGCAGTGCCGGACGGCGCCCGAGACCGCGAGGCTGAAGGCGGTTCTCGGGAGGTTGAAGCGCGGCCTCCAGCCTGCGGGGGCGGGATCGATCGGCGCCTCCGCAGACGCTTGGGCTAGCAGGCGTCCGCTTCGTTCTGCGACTCCCTTCTTTCATTGCGCGCAGTGCTGCGTTCAGCGCCTCCCTATCGGAAGCATCTACAGAGCGGGGGCCGAACCGCGGGCGTAGGCATGCCGACGCGTGAGCAATTGAGGACATCGAGGGCCCAGGTGCTTAGGGGGCGAGTTGAGTTGCGCTGCTGGTGGCTAGGTGTTGTTTGCTGTTCTCGTTCAGCGCGCGTGGCCTCGGCTCGGTGCACGCTGCGATCCGTCTGCGACGCACGCCTGCGTCGGAGGCTGCGCTTCTGAGCGGAAACCGAACCGTGCGTGCGGGCATCTGCTCGCGCTCGGGATCAGACGCCGATGCCAGCGGCAAAGCAACCGGTCCAGTTTGTGGCCAGGTGCCACGGGGGCGAGCTGCTCAGCTGCTGGCTAGGTGCATCGCTTGCCGCTCTCCCAGTGCACATGGTATAAGCTCGGCGCGTGCTGCAATCCGCTCTGGGAGGCTGAACCGCGGGCGTGGGTGGCTTGCAACCGACGCTCTGGATCGGGCTCCGCGCCATCGCAGAGCAGCGATGTCCAGTGTGCGGCCTGGTGTCGAAGGGACTGTGTTGCTCAGCGTTGGCCCCCACTTTTCGCGCGTCCAGGACGTGCATTCTGCGCGCCGCCGTCTGCCTGTTGAGGGCAGGCCCTTGCCGTGGCGCTTGCTCTGCTTAGTGCAGCTTCACTGGCATGTTCTCGTTGGCGCTCGCCGATCTGTCAGTGCCGCTTCAGCAAGACAGCGGTGGGCGAACCGAGGGCGTAGGTGGTTACATCGACGCTCTGGATCGTGCTCCGCAGGTATCAGCGGCGAAACGATGTCCGTGTGTGAGTGCGTGTGTGTGTGTGTGGTGTGTGTGCGCGTGGCCAGCAGCCAAAATCGATTGTGCTGTGTCGCCGATGTGCACTGCTAGCTTCTCTTCGGGCAGTGCACGCCACGCGCGCTGCAGCTCTGCTGCGTGCCAACCCGCCTGTCGTTGCACTGACCGCGTGGCAAGGCGGAGGCCGAACGAGAGGGTATGTGTCGCCACCGACGCTCTGGCTCACCTCCGACCGCCATTGCAGAGCAAGGTATCCTTCGGGTGGCCTAGGCCAATGGGACTCTGTTGCTCTGATTTGGAGCGTGTGTGCTCTGTTGCGGGCTGAGTCGCTGTGAATGCTCGGTTGCCGTGTTTACCGCTTGCTTCGGCCAAGGCGGTGGGCCAGGCACGCAGGCGAATATGCGAGGGTACCCTGGGCACGAGACCGTGCGTTGCCGCCGCAGGGCCGAAAGGACACGCCTGGGTCCGAGCGGCAGTCGGGGTTGGGAGTTCCTGACCTCCTTAGACGCGTGGATCATCATCGCCATCACCATAAACAGCATCATCATCAGCATCATCAGCATCATCACCATCAGCATCATCACCATCAGCATCATCATCACCAGCACCACCATCAGCAACATCATCGTCATCATCAACCACACCCGTACCACCATCATCGCCACAATCATCATCGTCATCACTTTAGTCATGTTCATCGTCATCATCATCAGCATCATAATCATCACCAGCATCATAATCATTTTCTCCTCATCTCAATCTCCCTGCCCTCCTCCTTCCCTTTCTCCGCCCTCATCATCCTTTCTTGTACGCGGTACCTTGTCGCCTGGCATCTCCTCATAGTTATGATCTTGAAGCTTGGGATTTTCACAGGTGCACGGGTGCAGCGCGGCCCAGTTTCGATTTGTGTTTCTCGCCCTGGTGCTTCGCACATGCATTTTCAAGATGAGGGCTGGTGTTTTTTTCATAATGCGTCTGTCGCCCTAGCGCCGGGCACATTCCTCTGAACACAGTCCAACAGTTACAAACATGGAGGGCGGGCATCGTTTACACGGCTGGAGGGTTGTATGTGTTCAAATTGGGGATATCGATTCATGCGCCTTGATCTTCTGGGTACGACTATAATTTGTCGTACTACTTACACGTATGGAGGGCGATCGGTTTTTAGCATGAGGCTTTCGCTCGGGCAGGTGTGACGGAGGGACGGGGGGACACCGAAGAGGCACATGGGGAAAGGTAGTAAAATGGGAACGAAGGAGGGACGGAGGCAAGCAGGGAGGGAGGGAGGGGAAGGGCAGGCACGACGAAACGGCGCAATGATGTAGGGCAAGGGATGTTTGAATAAGGGGGGAGAGACGAAAAAATGGGGGCGGGGGAAGGAAGGAGAGGAGTAATAGTAAAAATGAGGAAGAATGATGAAATCGATAGGGGGCTGGAGTGGGAGGTGGAGGGGGATGGAGAGGGATATGGAGAGGGCCCCCGTTGCCCTCATCTTATCCTTTCCTTTCTCCGAGCCTGCTGGAAGGCCACAGCCTTGCCCGCCTGAAGTGTCGAACCCACTCCAATCCAACCAAATCCTCTTCCGCCTCTTCCTCCTGCTCTTCCTCCCCCTCCTCATCCTTCTCCTCCTCCTCCTTGTCCTCGTCCTCCTGCTCTTCCTCCTCCTCCTCCTCCTCCTGCTCCTCCTCCTCCTCCTGCTCCTGCTCCTCCTCCTCCTCCCCTCCTCCTCCTGCTCATCATCGTCATCATCATCACCACCACCACCATCATCATCATCATCATCATCATCATCATCATCATCATCATCATCATCATCATCATCATCATCATCATCATCGTCATCATCATCATCATCATCATCATCATCATCATCATCATCATCATCATCATCATCATCGTCATCGTCATCGTCATCACCATCATCATCACCACTCTACTCCTCCCCCCCCTCCTCCACCTCTCCTCCTCCCCTCCTCCCCCTCCCTCCTCCTTGTCCTCGTCCTCCTCCTGCTCCTCCTCCTCCTCTTCTCATCCTCTTCTCCTTCCTCCTCCTCCTCGTGCTCCTCCCCCTCCTCCTCTCCTCCACCTGCTGCTCCTCCTCCTCCTTCTCCTCCTCCTCCTTCTCTTTCTCCTCCTCCTCCTCCTTCTCTTTCCATTTCTCCTCCTCCTCACCCTTGCCCCGCCTTCCATTCTTCGCCTCGCGCGGCAGCGCAAGCTCAGGTGCTGAACCGCGCTGGGCCGCTCATGGCGGAGGCGCCCACCGCTCAGCCCCAGGCCTGGGCGCGGCACCGCCCCTCTGCACCGGCGCGGGGCGGGAGGAGGGGAGAAGGAGGAGGGGAAGGAGGGAGGAGGAGGAGGAGGAAAAAGAGGAGGAGGAGGAGGAGGAAAAGGAGGAAGAGGAGGAGGAGGAGGAGGAGGAGAAGGAGGAAGAGGAGGAGGAGAAGGAAGAGGAGGAGGAGGAGAAGGAAGAGGAGGAGGGGTGGGGGTGCCACGCTCGTGCACAAGAATTTGGCCCCCCCACCATCGCCTGCGCGTCGCATGCGCGAGATGGAGGTCGTCTTCAATTATGGAGGTGGTGGTCGGGGGGCGAAGTGACCTAGGCTTCGGATTTTTGCCCTGTGGCCCCTCGGGCCCCGCTTCCTTTCCCCTCCCTGTGGCCCTTTGAGGCGCCCTCTGAGGCTGTTCGTTTTTTCCTTCCTCTCCCTCGGCGGGGTCTTGGTCCTGAGGCTGATTTCTGAGGAGCCCACCTTCTGCCTCAGCCACCCCGCTGAGGTAGAGGGCGGAACATAGGTCACGATGCGCGTGCTCGGTACAAATCTGGGCGCGCGCTGCGGCTACGGCGGACAGACCGCTACATGGCCGCCAGCGTCAGGAAGAGGAGGAGGAGGAAGAGGAGGAGAAGGAGGAGGAGGAGGAGGAGAAAGAGGAGGAGGAGGAGGAGGAACAGGAAGAGGAGGAGGAGGAGGAGAAGGAAGAGGAGGAGGAGGAGGAGGCGGAGGAGGAGGAGGAGGACGGGGAGGAGGAGGAAGAGGAGGAGGAGGGCGGACGAGCGGGGGGGGTGAGGGGCAGGTAGGCGAAAGGGCAGGGGACGGCCGGGGAGGAGCGGGGTTCCACGATCAGGCGTTCAATCCTCCATCGACGCGGGGATCGCTCGTTGCCCCGCGGGCGTCGCGCCGCCGCACGCAGGCCGCCGTTGTGGTCTGGAGTTTGTGACGAGACGCGACGCTCTGGCGAAGTGAGCGACGGGCTTGTAACGAGAGGGTGCGCGCTGGTGAAGCGGGCCGCGTCGGCGCCACAACTGAGGGCTGCGCGGGGCTCCTCGCTCATGCCCTGCCTCCTTCTCTTCCTCCTCCTCCTCCTCGTCCTCCTCCTCATTATCCTCCTCCTCATTATCCTCCTCCTCATTATCCTCCTCCTCATTCTCCTCCTCCTATTCCTATTCCTCCTCCTCCTTTTCTTTTTTTCCTTATGAATAGATTCTCCCTGTCGCACCCCGAGGCCATTTTTGAGGGCGGGCCGGGCGTTTCGCCTGAGACTTCCTCACCATTTATGATTCTGGAGCTTGAAACGTGGCAGCAGCTTCACAGATGGAGGGCGTGTGGTTTTCAAAATGTGGCTCTCGACTTAGCGCCGCGCACGTTCATTTTTATGCAGTGGCAAGAGCTTCACGGATTGAGGACGGTTGCTTTTCAAAGTGTGGTTCTCGCCTTAGCGCCGCGCACATTCATTTTATCCTTTTGCAAGAGTTTCACGGATTGAGGGCGGTTCCTTTTCAAAATGTGGTTCTCGGCTTAGCGCCGCGCACATTCGTTGTTAAACATTGCAAGAGTTTCACGGGTTCCCATGATCAACGTACCAGAAATTGTGTTTTGTAAGGATTCAGGATTGTGCGGGTGCAACCGTTAATTATGTTGGTTCGCGGTGTTGAAGTCCCCAACATGGCGTTCTGTCACGATTCTGGATCGTCAAGACGCAGCAGTCTGGTTGATCCGTGGCGTTTAAATCCAGAGAGCAACGTTTTGGCATGCTTCAGGGTCTTCAAACGGTTGTCTTCCAACGAGGCAGTTCCCTCAATGGAAATCAACCGCTGTATGGGGCCTACGAAGAGAGAGAGAGAGAGAGAGAGAGAGAGAGAGAGAGCTTGGAGGGAGGGTTAACTCCAACATCGTTGATGACTCTTGGGTGTATACTGGTCCTCTTCATCCTCCTCCTCCGCCTCCTCTTCCTCCTCAATGGACTCAATCGAGTTGTCATCTTTCATTGACTTCTGGGCCCGCCGGAAACAGACCGAGGTCTTCGCAGAACAATCGGGCCCGGCAGGCACGCTGCGGATCCCACTTTCGCGCCGGCCCAACCGACGAGGGTGCCACCACGCATGCCGAAGGGCGTCGTGGCGCGCGGCCCCGGCCTTGCTCAAAGGAAGCGCCGCGACAGCCCCTCTGATCTGCCGCCCCTGCACGAGCTCGCGGAGGCGGCCCCAACGGAGCCGCTGGCAGGGAGGAGGGAGGAGGGAGGAGGGGGGAGGAGATGCGAGTAGGGAGGAGGGAGGAGGGAGGAGGAGGGAGGAGGGAGGAGGAGGAGGAGGAGGAGGAGGGGGAGGGAGGAGGAGGGAGGAGGGAGGAGGGAGAGGGAGGAGGAGGGAGGAGGGAGGAGGGAGACGCCGCCGATAGTGCTCTGGGCGCCCCCGGTGCCGTTGCGGCGCCGGCGGGCCGCCAGGCCG